ATGCACATGTTAAAAGGTGTGTGAAAACAAGTGGCTGGACCTGATCAAGATGACCCTGAGGACCTCTCGGTTGCTTGTGAATGAGTCGCCAGTACATACCTTCTCTGCTCCGACAGGGCTGACAGTGAAATATGTTTCAACCTATAATGTCAGAAAACGCACCGTTGAGTGAATGTCTTGTTTGTTTGGAGCGACGGTTGGTTGCTGCTTAGAGGAAAAATTTCGGACTGTGAAAACGGAAAGATTGACCTTTTCTAGGTCTACCAAGGTTGTGAAGTCGTCGAAGCTGATGAGAGGGCTACATGCAGGTCTTGTGTCTTCGCATGCGTGCAATATGTTGAAGGTGGTGCTGTCCATCTGGCAGCCAAGTACAATAACAAGACTCAATGTGAAAGAGCACTTCATCCTGCTATTTATGCGGCAATGTGTGTGCTGGCATATGCAATACCTCATGTCATGTTTTGGTATTTCACCGTGCTTTGTGTGTGGGATATTCAATTCTTGGAAAAATGTTTTGATGACCTATCTCGGAGAGTTCATGGTTTGGCCATACAAAGAAATATTATGAGTCCACTTACCAGCAGCACTGTAGCAACCTCTGTTTTGTTATGACTGTGCAGAGGTATTGACACAGAGGCTGTCAGCCATGATGGACTGAATCCAGACCTTCTACCTACAAGCACCGCTCTATAATTGAGCTGTACCATCTTCAGATGCCGTCATACTTATTGCAACCCAGTCGAAACATTGTTCCACATTTATTTGAAAAAAAAAAAAAAAAGTTGGGAATGGTTGGACATTTTTCAAAAAGCTGAACCTGAATAGGGGACATTTAGAAAAAGAAGGAGGAGTTGTTTTTACTATTGAACCTAGCTTTCCCTCTGTAGAAATAGTTGGAGCTCAAAGCGCAACTATACTAATGCCATCACTATTAAGAAACATGCCTGACTGTCGGGAAACAAGATCACAACGTCAAGAAGTCCCAGTCGGTGGTCTAGTGGCTAAGGTACTCGGCTGCTGACTCGCAGGTCGCTGGATCCGAATCCCGGTTGCGGTGGCTGCATTTCCGATGGAGGCGGAAATGTTGTAGGCTCGTGTGCTCAGATTTGGGTGCACCGTTAAAGAACTCCAGGTGGTCGAAGTTTCCGGAGCCCTCCACTACGGCGTCTCTCATAATCACGGGGGGGGGGTTTTGGGACCCCACTAATCAATCATTCAATCAACAATGTCAAGAAGCTATCAAGTGTTACGAGGGTAGTACAGAGGTGACCATAAAAACAATGGTGTACATTTTAAGTGTTTATTGTACTTATGGGTCAGCATGTGCGAACAACAGTTCTATTTACTTGTTCCATTGTCACTCTTGTGTTGCTTTAGCATTGTGTATTCATATCCCACTTTGTTCTTGAAATGTGCACGTAGCATATGTTTTTGTCATTGCACAAAGTTGTGTGACTTGTGGGATTTGCCGCCAGAACAGATGCAGGCAATAAGAGACACTTTCAGTGTATGGACATTTTTGCATTTTCTTCCCATTGAAATGCAGTCATCGTGGCTGGGAGAGCATGTGGCCGGTAGAGCTTGCTGAAGCATTTGGTGTGAAATTGTTCTTATTGCATAATTTTGTATTCCAACACATTTGGATGAATAAAAATGTCTTATTCATTGTATATGTGTCCACTTGGTGGTATAATAATAATAAAGATTGTTTGTTTCTCTGTAGAAAATGTATGTAAATAATGGATTGTTGACCAAAAGATGAACATTCCATGTTAACACTAATCAAACTATGGTTACATAAATATTAAGGCAAGGTTAGATGTTCTACTAGTTAAATAACCTGTAATATTGTATTGAAAGTGTGAGCAGAACAAAGTGGTTTTTATGGTGTCGCCTCAGCATGCCATAGGGTTCCGATTCATTCCAGAAACAACATATTTACATTAAAAATTTGATGTGGTAGTGGCTGAATGTAAATGATTGCTTAATGATGGGATCCTTTATAGTCCTGAAAAAATATAAAAAACTGTTGGCTATGAATGAGGTCTTATGTTTTGTTGTGACATCTCTTTCACTTACAAATTACATTGAAGCATTTTTTTTATAAAATCTTAATTGTCTGGCTTTTTAATGAATGAAGGGGCATATTTATTATTTATTTATTTACAAGATACTGCAGGCATGGAGCCCAGGCAGGAATGGTGCAGGAATGGTACAGTACAGTTGAACTCTATTCAACTTTTTGAACATGTCACTTCCAGGAGTGTAGTTAAGGCACATGCTACCGGAAAGTGACAATGCAAAGAAATCGAATGCAGAGGGAAGCTCATTTTTGTGGAGCATTTCTTTTGTAGAATATCATCATTAATAGAGAGTTGAGCTTAAAGCCACCCCTTGAAGGCTGGCATAAAGAAGCTCTGAGGCAAAAGATTTGCGTCTTATTTTCTGTCGTGATGTGTAGCTAATAGCCCACTTGTCATAGCTCGAAAGCTTGTTTTCTCGAGCTCACGATGGTTCATTTTTGGGAGACTGTTTTTATAGCAGCCCCTCTTATTGTCGATTTCAGAAAAGGTTGAGTGAAGTAGCCCCCCCCCCCCCCCAAATTCACTGTGGCTGTCAGTCTCTATGTTGCCGTGCAAGTCTACCTGATCTTACTTTTTTCTGAAAAGGTCTGCTAAGAGAAAGCGCTCAAAAGGATCATGGCAGCCAATACAAACTCATTATGCAGGTGGTGGTTAGTTGTTTACACTAAAACCGAAGTCTCATCTCGTGTGTGGCATGACACACAGTTTATAATTGATTTTAAATATGTTCTGGACTATGTTATTTATTCATTGATATTTCTTAGATGGTACATGTATATTTACATCAATCTATTCCACAAGTCACCTCACCTTCAAAATTTTGTGTTAGTACTCCTTCAAAAAAAAAAAAAAAGGTGGATTTTTTACCAGCTTGAAGATATGTGTCCTCGAAATGTCTGTTGCTGAAAATTTTCATTTTATTGAAATACTGTACATTCAGTGGCATAGTCGTAGCGTTCATTCATACTTTTATGATGGTATATGAAACAGCTTCGTGGTCTCTTTCACTGACCCGTTGCGTAGGCCTCATTCGAAAACGCCTCTCGTCCATTTTTTTTATGCCTTGTCTCATTGGCACGATACATTTTGCATATCTATACACGTCTGGACGAATTTTGATTGCAATCTCTAGTGAGATCATAGCGACGATACTATGTTGCTCAACACGAAATAATGGGTGTTGGATATTGGTTTAGGAGTTTATTTCTCCTCTCGAACGGAATAAGCTTGACAATCTATTGTGCACTTGATTTCCGAGTGCTGCATTGCATGCGCATTTGCATATCACTTTGTCTCCTTGTAGGGCTTTGCTGATTACTCATCGTTGGGCTGTCATCCGCCGTGGAGCAGTTGTTAAGGTTCTTGGCTGCCGATTCAAAAGGCACGGGTGCGATCGTGGTCGCATTTCAATGGAGGTTAAACAGTAGAGGCTCGTGTGCCGTGGGATGTCAGTGCATTTTAAAGAACACCAGTTGGTCGAAATTTCGTGAGCCTTCTACAATGGCATCTCTCATAATAGTATTGTGGTTTTGGGGTGTAAAAGCCCAGATAACATTATTATCATCATTGGTTTTCAAGTTTGCATTTATTCAAACACAAAAGAAATACATAGTTCAAATATGCAGACAAGGATTTCGGTGTGTTTATGTGAGAATGAGACCCTGGTTTATGAACTGCAATAAAATTCTGCTGTAGTTTACAGCATAACAAAGGACGATGCAGTTATCATTAAAATGTGAGAAAAACCATTGTTATCAAATAAGATATCAACAAGCGATGCTCAAATGTTATTCTTTAAGCAAAAAAAAACAAGAGATTTTTATGAGATTGACAAGAAGTGATATTGTTTAAAGGAAGAAGAGAAATAAGAACAAAGTGAGAAAAGAAATGTGCAGGGTTTACCTTGTGAGAAAAATGAAAAGTGCAGGTTATCCTTGTGAGTGTTTATCTTGTAAAAAAAAATAAAGGCATATAATAAATTTACCAGAGGTTAGCAGAAAATCTTATCATGAAAAGCACCATATTGTAGGAATTCTTTGAAATGCAGCAAGAAAAATGATTGCAAAGAGTATTGGATTTGGACGTTTTTACCGTATTAGGACTGAATGGTGTGAAAGGGAATTTGCTGTTTGAATGAAGTGAAAGCAACTTTGTAGTGAGACTACTCAGTTTTGTTTGCCCGGGAAAGGATTAGGCAGTAGCTGTATATTGCATGTCTCAAAGTTTAGGTGACACTACGAATACAAGGGAGACGACATATTGCACCAGCATTAGCCAACACACAGAGGGTCCTTGGCACTGTTGGTGGTCGTGTTGCAAACAAGTATCGAATTTGAATCCAGCCAACGCCTTTGGCGTTCGCAGCACAAAAAGCTCAACCTGAGGCACTGTTTGTTAATGTGAATTCAGTGCACCAGTATTTTGCTGAAGCTCTCTTGTTGTCATTGATCTTGGCAGAACTTGAAAGTCATATTCATGCAATAAGGAATTCTCTGGGCTTTCAAAGAGAGGAGCATGGTTATCACTCTGTATAATTAAATGTGAGTGTAGGAGAGTTGGTGTTGGTAAATGAGCTGGTTTAGGTTTATCCATATTCATAGATCAGTGGCAGTCAAGCAGTTTATAAAAATACTGGCATCACACAGCAGGTGCTTGCTTTACATGCTGGCTAATTTGATAACGCTTCGCAGAACTCCAAAGTGATGAGGGTAGTGATGTGCACTTGTTTGTGTGTCATGCTTCTTGGATACGGGTGCAAAAGGACAAGGATGAAGGGAAGATGATGGTATATCATGAAAAAAATGTTGCTATATCCAAAAGAGACTGCTTGTAAAATGCTTTGTACAGTACCGATTCCTTCAGTGAAAAGGACGTGCAGTTTTCTGTTCTCATGGGGACATTTTTTTTCTAATGCAGGAAGAGACTTGATGACATGGTTGAAGAGCAGGAAAGCCCTGGGAACTGTGGTGAAACCATGACACTTTCCGTACAGAGGATTGTTGAAAAAGAGGTGGCAAATGGCTGCCACGCTGAGGATGTTACTGGTGATGGACCTCTGGCAGCTAAACGTCTGCGCTTGGATGATAGTGAACAGTACCTTGTGTGTGACTGTGACATTTTAGGAACCATTGACAGTGTTGTGAGCTCCTTCCCGGTTGAGCATGATGACGTCTGGAAAGAAGAGGTCCGAAAGTTCTCCGCTCGCCATTGCAACATCGATAAGCTTGAGCGTGAGTGTGCTTTTTTTGTTTGCTGTGCCACTTTCTCTTCTGAAGCAGTGTTCCAATGAATAAAATTCAGAAAGGTCTTTCTAAAAAGGAAGAAATCGGGCTTCCAGACTCCAAATATTCTTGTTTACGTTACAAGTATTGGCTCATTTTGTGATCTTATTTGCCTTCTCAAAAGTAAGCTTTTGGTACAAAAACAGGCCTTGCATGCCGATTTCAACACTTCTTGCTCAAAATTTTTCGTTAATGGAAGAATGCGACTGAGACGTCAGTGAAAAGCATGCATCTGAAGCATTCGCTAAGAATAAATTCAAACATAGCAAACTTGGATTGTGTATGTGCTGCTTGTTAACATATCCAAAAGAACCCAGGTTGTTTGTGTATAAATCGAAATGAAGCAGGCAACTGTAGGATGGAGACTAGCAGTGTGAAAGATAAGATACTTTTCCTATGAAAAATCCGTAAACAGGGGTTGTGTCAAGCTGACGCTTTTACAAGTGGACTTGTCTTCCTCAAGGCTAGAACAGAAGTGATTTCATTAGCGCTAGCTTATCTACGTTTTGTACCTTCTCCTCAATCTTAGCAAAGGAGGGGGAGCGGCAACATTGGATACGCGGGTTTCAGAGAGTGGGGTGGGGGCGGCGTTGAATTGTATGAGCGAAGAATTTGGGTGAAGCAATAAGGATTTGGTGCTCTCTGAAGCTGCACTGCCATTGTAGCTGCTAGAAATGCAAAACCATTGAGAGCTGCGGTGCATGAATAAGAACTGTTATGATACAGGCCGGTGTACTGAAGCTGTCATACTCGCCTACCACTTATCGCTGCATGTGTTGAGTGTACAGCTTTCTTGGCTCTGCAGAGAGAAAAATTTTGCTAATAACACTTCGCACTGTTTTCTTCATTGCCATTTCATAATTAGACTCTCTGACCTAGGAGCGTTCCGTCCAAGTTCAGAAAACAGGTGCCATAAAGTTGGTTGTCACTCTTTTCAAAGAATTGTTGCAGGGGCCTTAAGAAGGAAGTTATAGTGATCTGATCGTACTTGACTGCATTTGGGCAGTAGTATCTTTTAGCTGTTGTAGTTTGTTTTATGTTCTTGTATAAATTTGCTCTCTCGTTACTGGCAATGCATAATCATGAAAATATCTCCTCTCATTTAGGTGAATTTATTCACATTGACATTGCCTTTGACAAAATGGAGCGCGATCTGCAGAAGTTGAAAGAGAAAAAGAGGTACGTGGTCTTAAGCATGACAGTCTTATTTTGTTACAGCAGTGTTGATACATGTGCGTGCATTAAAGGAGCTACTGACGTGAATGTTCTGTTTTAGCAGCCAGTGATCGGGCGCTTTGTTGCTGCACATGCGTTGCTTGAGCTTATCGGAAATAACCGCCTGTGACCAAGAGCCTTGAAAATTGTTGAATATACTAGTCGATTATGATGGCTCATCGGGGCATTATTAAACATAGAATTTTGGGGAGATTACATTATTATCAAGTTATGTAGTAAGAAGTACTTTTTATTGCATTTAGGAACATCACTGTTGCACTCAATTTAAGCTCTGAAAAGTGCCTCGATTCTTCATCTAAGTACTCAAGTTTTATAAAAATTTTAAGATCTTGGTGTTCTCATCTTTCTCTCATTAAAGAAAAATCTTTTTTTGTTTTTTGTTTGCAGTCGTGATGAAATTGCCTTGTTGTCACCTCCCGAACTTCACTTTTTTGACGTATTCGTCAATGGTAAGCATTAATGTGGCACAATATATACATTTATCCTTTGAAAGTACAGTGTGCAATATGTAAGCAAGGTTATAAATGGCAATTAATTTATAAATTATGTTTTACACATTAGGGCGTGAAGAGGCATCTTTTCAATGACAGCTATACCTCTTCTGTCTATTGCGTTCGATCATCTTTTTTGCAAATATGTGCTGGTCACTATAATACAAGCTTGTGCTCTCCCAAAGTTTAATTGCATATTAATGCATTGTTTGCTGTAGTGCACCACGTTTAGCTCTTTGGGTTTAATGTGGCTCTATAACGTTGATAACCTAGAAGAATGTGCCCCGCCGCGGTGGTCTAGTGGCTAAGGTACTCGGCTGCTGACCCTCAGGTCGCGAGATCGAATCCCGGCTGCGATGGCTGCATTTCCAATGGAGGCAGAAATGGGTTAGGCCTGTGTGCTCAGATTTGGGTATGTTAAAGAAACCCATGTGGTCGAAACATCCAGAGCCCTTTACTACAGCATCTTCATAATCCTATGGTGGTTTTGGGACGTTAAACCTCGTATATCAATCAATCAATCAACTTATGAGGAATGCACTGATGTGAGCTTTAAAGTTGGCTTAGTTGATCTGCGTCCAAGGTTATGGACATGTTGGCCATCTGTCTTCTTTGTGTTATCAAGCCGGCCATTAGTAATGCTGTAACTAGTCAGTTAGCCCTGTTAGGTTTCGTGGTGTGGTTTCATATTTTTGGCTTCTTGTGACACGCAAACCACAGTCCAATTTTCAGTGCGTGTCATACTGATTTTAGTTTAATATCGAATTGCTTGCTTTAAGGCTGCCTGAAAAACTTTCTATATCCTTTTTTTTTTTTTTCTGAAGAATCTGTTTCGTATTCATTTGCTGTGTTTGAAATGACCTCTTCTTTACTTCCTAGCTGACCGCAGCTTCAAGAAGCCACAGACCACCATTGCCCGAATTCCAGCTTCACCCTTAACAACTAATGCGGTAAGGGATGTGTACATAGCACTTAACAGTGGAGTGTCAGTATTTTCCATAGCATTGATGGGGCAGGGCTGTCGAGGGAAGGCATGTGTGAACGGAATATCGCAGTGAGCAGGGTCTCTGAATTTATTTGTTCATGTTGCAAGCATTTGCTATTGAGCATTACCTGATGTACCATTGTTTTATTTTTGATTTGTCCAAAGAATGCGGGCACTACAAACAAGGCATCCCCTAGTTTTGACGAAATCATTCCTGTTGGTCCCGTTGGGAAGTTGACTCCAGCGCCCAGCAACCTTCCTCCGGAGGGTCCCATTGTTCGCAAGTATGTCCTTGGTGTTTCATTAGTGCAGATAGAATTCCTATGGGACTTGTTCGGGATAGAGTGCATTGTACCCTCCTATATTGTTACCAATTCCTGTTCAGTTGTTTCATAGTGCATTACCTGCCGTCATAGAGTGCATGTTGTCATTGGGGTGTGTAAACTTTGCTTGCTTATTGCCATCTGACCTTCGCTTACACAGGTCAACATAAGCAAGGGGGACATTTCTGAATAGAGACTGTATAACGGCTATGTGGCCTTGCAGACTATGACCGACGCTTGGCGAAGGGGTATTCCTTAAGTAATTTCATGTTTTGCTCTCATAAACATAAACCTTCTAATATGGTAAACCTTTTAAAAGCTTTTTAATATGCGAAGCTGCTTATGATAACAATACAATGAGAATAGTCTCTCGAACTGTGTCTTTATGGGTTGATACCCAACGTTAAGACAGCTTAGGTACTAGACATTTCTGCTTCATAGCAAGGATGGCAGTGAGCCTGCTGGGATCCTAATATGGATGCTTGAAGCTCACAAATGAATGTGTGCCTCCTTTAGGGAGAGCAAAGCTGTGAAGATTTTTCTGTGGAAAGCGGGAGCTGAAGACGTGCTAATGGGGTCTCTTCATTTGCCAACTTTCAGGGAATTGGAGATTTCGTCAAAGGTCCTGGCCACTCGCAACTTTCCACTGGGAGTATTTTACAAGGCACGGATCATCCAGATCCAGGACACTAAGGATGCTGGCTCCGAACCGACGTATCGGGTGAAATACGAGACACGCAGGACTAACATAAACGCTCGTGCTCTCAAGTGGTACCACAAGCGAGAGTTGGCATACGCCGAGCGATCGACGGTCATTCTGCCGGTCGGCACTCGAGTGGTGGCCACTTACTCTGATGAATCGGTACCTCCCCGGCACTCGTTGTACGCAGGACTCATTGCCGAGCCGCCAAAGCCCTTGAACAAGTACAGATACCTTGTGTTTTTCGACGATGGCTATGCGCAATATGTGGATGTTGACAAAGTGTTCTTGATGTGTGGTTCCTCTCCGAATGTGTGGGAGGACATGTACCGTGATGTGCGTGACTTTGTGAGTAAATATCTTGAGAAGTACCCCGAGAGACCGATGCTCCGGCTTCGCAAAGGCCAGACCGTCAAGACCGAGTGGAATGGCAACTGGTGGATGGCGCGGGTGCTCACTGTGGATTCCAGTCTGGTTAAGATGTCGTTTGAGGCTGACAACCGCACCGAGTGGATCTACCGCGGCTCGACGAGGTTTTCGCCTCTATATATGGCACTCAGCCAGCCTCCGCAGAACACGGCTGCTACAGGTGGCCGCGTGCGCCGTCACAACCTGGTGCCTGTTGCAAACAAGCAGCACCGACCATTCGTCCAGTACACGCGCACCCTGGAGGATGAGCCTGCCGAGAACAGGGGCGACGATGACAGCGGTGAAGACTCTTCGAAGAAAGCAGCAATGCGTAATGTTGCGCGCAAGTCGACCACCCAGGACCGCAAGATTAGTGACAAGGATGACAACGAAAGGAATGAACTCGGTGTCCTCTTGTCCCAGGCTGGCACCCGGGAGGTGAATCGGCCAGATATCAAGGAAGGTGTTGTGTGTAAGCGCATTTCGTACAAGGCACACAGCTGTGCATCATGGTGCGTGAAGGATGATGATCCCGATGTCCATTTGGGGAAAAACCCCCTCTCAATTCCATGCTTGCTTGGCTGGGAAAGGTGCGTGTCCTGGTATATTAGCACTCTTCACTAGCCATGTTTGCATGAATATATCATTGCAGCCTGTTTTTTTTATTCATATTTTTTTAACAAAGCGTATCTCGTACTTATTGGGTATTGGGCTACTACTAGAACAGAATTGTCACACATATCTGCGAATGCCGTTAGATGCTGCTTTCCTTGTGGCATGGCATTTAATACATGGTGATTTTGTCCACCACAGGCAAATTGTAAAGCAGAGCAAGAGAAGCAAGCGGAGAGTCTTCTACTGTTGCCCCCTGTGGGAGGCGGTTGAGGAATATCGACGAAATTGTTCACTACCTGGAGCTCTGCAAGTCGCACCTGACTGTAGACCTGTTCTGTTTCGACAGCCTAGTCAATGTTTTCTGTCAGTTTGTGCCTGAGGTGGTGCGGAGCTATCTTGAAGACATCACCTATGGCAAGGAGCAGGTACGTTTGTCACGCACGGTAACAGGTGAACTGTAACAGGCAAAGCATAGTGCAGTAGTCATGTGCAGTGCAGCAACAAACTGTAATTTAATTATAAACTGGAACTAAAAATGTAACGGCATTACAGTTAGTTTTCTAGAGCTTTCGGAAGTAGACCTCTTGCAGCTAGAATAGACAAAGTAATTTTTTCCAGTTTGTAACTGCGAACAAATAACCTCATTATTTTACTATTACTATTAAGAACAGCAATGAACTGTCTCTCTACTGCCGAAAACAGGCTTGTTCTCATTGCTTTTATGTGTTTTAATATTTGAAGACTAAATAGTTTCAGTGTATCTTGCAACACTGCCAGTTTCACTACTGTTTTGAATGGAAGTGAAGCAGACAACTCCTGAATATTCTTATGTCTTCACTCAATTAAGCATCTCGGAAAGCAGTGATGAAGATAATAGTTTCTAATTCTTATTGAAAGTATTGAAAGTACTGAGTGAGAAGGCCATGCCACAAAAGCTATGCAACAGGTACAATGACAATGCTACATTGCACAAAGCAGCATTTTGTGAGAGCTTGGGTGTTGCTCTGGTGGTCTTTTGAATGCATTCACTGTGGATGAGATTTGAAGGGGCCCTGCCAGTTTCACTACTGTTTTGAATGGAAGTGAAGCAGACAACTCCTGAATATTCTTATGTCTTCACTCAATTAAGCATCTCGGAAAGCAGTGATGAAGATAATAGTTTCTAATTCTTATTGAAAGTATTGAAAGTACTGAGTGAGAAGGCCATGCCACAAAAGCTATGCAACAGGTACAATGACAATGCTACATTGCACAAAGCAGCATTTTGTGAGAGCTTAGGTGTTGCTCTGGTGGTCTTTTGAATGCATTCACTGTGGATGAGATTTGAAGGGGCCCTGCAACACTTTTTGAGCATTGTCAGAAAACGATGCCGATCGGTATTCTACGCTCACGAGAGCACATGAGCCAAATATTATAGCGCAGCTTGGGTCTTGAAATTTGCAATAAGTTCTCATTGTCGGCTAAAAATTTCCTTCTCTCAGCAAATGACTCTACAAGATCGAAAATCATTTGTCACAACCATTGTATCAGCCATTGGCTAAGGAAGCATAACCAGCTCAGTCGTTACTGGGGACGCTGCACGAGGCCGCGACTTGTTCATGAGTGGGTGCGCAATTGCACTGAAAAACCATGTATTAGAAGAAAAAAAAGTGAAAAAGTGTTCAAGGTCACGAGATGCATGGCGTATTTTCTTTCTCTGGGCTATCCCTTCCAGCTTTGTTTCCAGTGCTTACGTCGGGACGAGATAAGAGAGTGCAATTGCAGCTGTGACAATTCTTTGTAACTCCGCTCGTACTGGATGGATGGTAAAAGTTTTCACGGTGAATTTGTCAGGCAACAAGCTCTTTTAGAGAATACATTTGATGGCTACTTAGGAAAGTGTTGCAGGCCCCTTTAATTCATGAGACTTAGTTGTTTTTTGGATATATTTGTGAACTGAAAAAGTGACACACAGAGTAATTGAATTGTTTTTTTTCTCCATCTCTTCTAGTTGCCTGTATCTTGTGTAAATAGCCTTGATGGGGGGTACCCTACATTTGTAGACTATTCGTCTGCACGTTATCCAGGGAAAGGTGTGCAACTGAACTTAGACCCCGATTTCCTTTGCGGCTGCGATTGTGAAGACGACTGCCAGGTGAGCGATGTGTCCTCGTTGACTGTGCATGAAAAAATACTTGGCCAATAGCTCTTCAACACAGGGGGCACACATCCTCCCTCTAATTTTGGTCATGTTTAATTTCATCAGACAGTAGACCATCTATTCTATCCGCTGTCCTTCAAGACTGCCCTTGCTTTCGCACCGTGTTTGGGCTCAGCGAGTGTCTTATTGAACCAATGGTTGTTTTAACAAGAAAAACTGTCTATATCCACTTTTTATCAGAAGGACTACGATGGTTTGCGCACTGAATGAAGAGAGCCAGAGGAGAGCATCTGGTAACTGATTATAAGAAACACTACTGTGCCCAACATTGAAATAGGGATTACCGTATTTACTCGCATAATAGGCGCACTTTTTTTTTCAGAAAATCCGGCTCGAAGTTAGGGGTGCGCCAATTACGCGGGGTAAAATTTTCGAAAATTTTTTCAACTCGGTTCTCGCGCTTTAAATCTGAACACTTGTCAAGTCAAAGGCGACTTTATCATTTACCAATTAATTCACAACAAAACTGTGGAAGTCCACCACTTTGTCCTCATATGCTGCGGGCAAGCGCTGGCACAAGGTGGTCTGCCTTCGCAGTGCGAGGCCATGGGGCCGCATGAAACGAGTTGTCAATCCGGAGCTGGCTTTGAACTCTTTTGCTTCGATGCCCTGCGCTCGGGCTATTCTGCGCGCCTCAGTCTGCACAATATCCAACGACACAGCACAGCCGTCTTGTCATAGCTCCCGTATATGCCAGACCAGTTGCTCTTCGACGTTTGGATACCTGCCGGTCTTGGCACCACGGCAAGCCCGTCGTGTCTTCTTCGTCGCCTTAAGTTTTTCTTCTTGGTCCCTCCAGTACCGAATACTGGTTTCTCCAACGCCGAAATGCCTGCTTGCAGCCCGGTTGCCGTGCTCCAGCGTGTACTGCACTGCCTTCAGTTTAAACCCAGCCGTGTAGCTCGCGTACTTCCCCATGGTGGAACCAAAGTTCAATACACGACCACAACATACGCACACCGCTTGCAAAATGGCGTTTCTTTTTTTTTCTCTGATGGTGGTGATGGCGATCGAGCCCCCGACGTTGTACACGTGACCTCCAAAAAGCGCGGCGATTTGGGGGGTATCAGTAATTGATAGAACAGCCGTTTTTTTTTTGCTCATGGACGTTTTTTTTTTTTTCAAGTTTTATTTCGACAAACACGTTGGTTAGGTCGTTGCACTTCGAATTTTTTTTATTTGCTCGTCGATTTGCCTTCTTTTTTTCTTCAGGGTACGGGGACCGCGTTCCAACTGTACCGCTGGGGGGTTGAATCGTTTCTGATCACGGCCAAGTTCGGGGTGTGCCTATTATGCGAGTGCGCCGATTATGCGAGTAAATACGGTAATCAGAAATATAGTGTGTTGTACTCTGCTTATGACCCCTTATATAAGGGGCAAAGACTACTCCCAGATGCATGCCCCTTGTTAAGTTGTTCAGCTGTGATTTGTCAGAAATGCAGGAAATGGCATCCTTAAGCGAAAGTACAGGGTTGTGTATAAGATAATTCTGTGGTGCAGGCAGAGGCCTTATCTAGAAGAGCTGCATTGGTGTATCTATAAAAACTTCTATCTACCACGCAATGCACTCTGATTGTAGGACCGGGAGAAGTGCAGCTGCCAGCAGCTGACCATTGCAGCGACGGAGGCACTGACCACTGGCAAGAACCCGAACGCGGGCTACCACTACCGCCGGCTGCAGGAGCCTCTCATCACGGGCATCTATGAGTGCAACTCGCAGTGCCGATGCTCGCGCCGCTGTTACAACCGTGTAGTGCAGAATGGTCTGCGTGCCCGCCTGCAGATATTCAAGACTGAGAAGCGGGGCTGGGGCATCCGTTGCCTCGATGACTTGCCCCAGGGAAGCTTCATCTGTGTCTACTCCGGCCAGCTGCTAAATGAGCAAGCTGCTAATGAGGTGCGTAGTACTTCATTGGATTGTTTTGCGGTGGCAGGGCATGCCTTGCGAGGGCAATGCAATTCCTGGTCGTTAAGAACAACAGGCTGGGTTTAGTGGGACGCGAGAGAACACAAGCATGCAAGGGTGAGCCAAGAAACTAGGTGGGCAGATGAGGTTATGAAGCTTCCGGGGCTAGCATGGCTACAGCAAGTGCGGGACTGGGTTGATTGGTGAAACTCGCGAGAGGCTAATGTCCGACAGTGGGAGTGGTCGTGCGGACGATGTTGGTAATGATGCAGTGACAATGCATGATGTGGTAGCAATGGAGGGGTTTCACGTAAGAAACAATGTTAGTTGGAAAAAGTGGGCTTTGCTAAAGAAATAGGTGTTTGTATTATTTTGTTTGGGAAGTTACCATGTATTATTTTTTATTTCTGGATCTAAAAATACAAAGATGTATTTTGAAGAAAAAAATGTTTAGAAAATCAGTTTATTCCATTGGTGATTTGGGAAAGCTGCACATATTCATTACATATAACGGGCGAGGGACACTGTTAAAATTCAGCATCCGAGTATTACAAAATGTTCTGGCATTGCATTATCTTGTGATGTGCGGAAATTTTTTCTAGAAGATAATGACTTTGATACTCTTGTACCTAAAAAACACGAACTTTCATTGAACCTTTTAGGCAAGCGTATGTTGCTTCTAAACATTTTTTTTGTCGGGAAATCATCAAGTGCTTCTCAGGTTTTCCTGTTCAAGCATATAAACTGAAATGAACTGCTGCGAAATGCAAAGGAGAAAAAAAATTCCGTGCTATTACTGCTTTTTGACTTCATCAATGTGTGGATTTTTTAAAAAAGCTCCCTCGCCTAATTTGAAAATTGCAAAAAAGGACGCATGTAGATTGTACATGAGAACATCTGCAAAGTATGGAACTGCTGCACAGTGTAGAAATGTTGTAAATTCATACGGATAGCCTCAAAATCTTTCTTTTGTAGGTGAGATAAAGCCGCATCCACATCTGAAGTGTGCGGCAAGCCTTGCAGAAGATTGCTGACACGCAACGTTTTTTTTTTTTATCCTATAAATGGCATGCAATGCTGCCGTTGTAGCTGTGCTGCAAACCAAGAACAACAGGAAAGAAAATAAATAAACGAGGCAGGGTGTGTCACTTTACTTGACATAAAGAGCTGCCTCAGTTCCAGCACTTGGAAGAATGCGTGGAATGTATGCCGGTTGATAACGCCGAATGATGCGAATGGAGAGATGAGTGTTCTGGCAGTACAAGCTTGCCGCCTGAAGGCATAATTATGAGACGATTCAATTTCTTTGATTTTGATAAGGAATATATTGGAAACATGATTTGGATGAAACATCTCCTTGGGTGGCATCTAAACTTCCTAGACGAAATTCGCGATGGAGCCTGGAGGAGGAGCCCTTGATTATGCATATTGTACTACAGAAATGCAAGTTGCGGCGAGCATCATGTCGTATATTTGTAGTAGCCCTACAAGACTTGCCTTTTCAAGGGGTCCTGAAGCAACCCTCGGGCTTGGTGAAAGAACACTTGCGAAAAAAGCGGACTCTGCTGTGAACAGATCAGTCAAGTCTTGCAGTCGTGCCTAGTACGGAGCATTCGCTGGCAGAGTGCAAAATTGCCGCTGTTTTGGGCATGCTCTCTGCAGAGAGACCCGTCCTTAAATCTTTTTCAGTGAGCAGTGCACAAGCTATAGGTTGTGATACAGCAGATAGCTGCGGTTGGAGAATAGCAAACGTACATCAAGAACTCTGTTTTAGATCACGTGGACTTCTTGCTACAGGGTGTCGCCACTTGCTGGGCACTGTTCCCTAAAGTGGGCTAAAATTATGCATTAACAACTCCGATGCACACCAGAATCGAAATGGGAGGGAGCAATCAGAATTCATGTCGCTGGCTGATTCTTGTTTGTGTGCCATCACTCACTCCCAGTGTAGCTTCTAGCATGCATGCTCAACGAGATGAAAGAAAAGAGAAAGCACTTATTAAAGAATGCATCAAATCCATGTAGCTCCCACTTGTGATTGATGGATTTGAAATTTTCGTGGCGGCCAATTCATGAGGCAATTAACTTCAACACTGACGTATTTGATGATTACTTTAAAAAATGATTCAGGACCACTTTGACTCATTCAGCTACATGCACTCATTGATACAGTAGAATAAGTGGACCTCATGCTAGGTTATGCACGACAATCGCAACTAAGTAAAACCTCGTTAATTCGAAGTGACCGGGACCATGAGAAATCTTTAAATTAAGCAGGTTTTCGAAATAATGAAACAGGCAAAAGCGGGATGAAAAGCACTTGATATTATATTCAATTTAATGAGGACTGGTCGTTTGCTGTGGCAGCTATTGTACGGCTCCAAGGGTTATGTTTTATAGCAATACCAGGTCACAATTTTGGTGCTAACAAGGGGGAACGCCAGGCCTCGCTGCTGCTATCGAATTAAAAAAAAAAAAAAAAAAAACCTGTCTCGTGATTAATTGAAATACACGCCTGCAAAAAATAAGACATCTTCACAGCAAAACAGTAGCCACACGCGGGCAGCATGTCGCCTGTTATTCGTGGCGTCAGCACGTCACGATGCGACCATTCGCCCATTTTTTCTAGTAAAATAGAGAATTTAATAATTGACAGTGAGACGAACTTCGCGATGTTTTGGCAGGAAAACATGATCATTGAAGCTTTCGAACAGAGTTTTTGAAGTAGATATTTCAGGCAAGAGCTCCTTAAGCAGTGCAAGTTTGCAAATTGCTGGAGTGACCGGCACTCTGAGGTTCGCATGCATCGTAAATTCCTCCAGATTGTCTTTTAGTAATTACTTTATATTTCCACAAAGAATGGGTAAATTATAATGCAATGGCGTTGCAAGAAGCATGCGACATGCTGCCCTCGCGCCGCCGCTTTGTTGCAGTGAAGCATGTCTTGTTTTTTGCAGGCTCACGTTTCAATTCATCACGAGACCACTTTTATTTACAATTTTATTTTTGTGCTGGAAGTATTGACGCTGGAGTGCTTCAGCTGCCACTCAGTAGTATTGCTACAGTACATTGTGTAGTGGCTTTTAAGGGCTGTCATTTCCACGGTTTTGCGGTGAAATCGGGTTTGGGTATTAGTACACTGCACTCAAAGTTTTCGAATTAACCTGACTGCTGCTGATTGCCGCTTTAATTTATCTGCTCAAACTTACATTGCAAAATACCAGACTGTGGAAATACTTCAAATAAGTGAGATTTTGAAATCACAGAGTTCGAAATAATGAGGTTTTACTGTACATTTGGATACCTTGTGCAGGACGGCAACCAATATGGGGACGAGTACCTGGCTGAGTTAGACCACATTGAAGTTGTGGAAAAGCAGAAGGAGGGTTACGAGAGCGATGTCGTCCCAGCTTCGGAGGACAACAGTGACGAGAGCGTTGAGTAAGTTTGAGGCACTCTCCGTGCACATAATTTTCTCCTTCATGATCTATTTCATTGACACTTTGAGCTGAATTTCCTGAGCTTTGCCTGTAACTAAACAGTGCCTTTAATTGCTGCAAGTGTCGAGTCTGAAGATTGTGGAACTGTAAATGTGTTTCTCTTTGTATTTGGGATTCCCACTTGCTTGCGGCTGCTCTTTGTTTCTTGAGAGACTGCTGTTTGTCGCATCACATGCAATCGTTTGCAGCGTCTTCTGCTCTGGCTTGAAGATGAGAATTTGCAAAGACATTTGTTCATTCATAAACGTAGAGTGAGTGGACTACTGCTAAGTTCATATTATTATTGGTATTGTGGTATTATTGGTGGTATTGTTTCATTGCATGCAGATAAGCAACTTGTGAAATATACGTACCTGGCAAGTCTCCCGGATTTTCCAGGAGACTTCCGTATTTCGGCCATTTCTTACGTTTGTATGGTTGGCAGGAAAATCTTCTGGGAATCGAAATTTATCGGTGTGGTGTGGCCACACTGACAAAAAGCGAATCCAATTCAATCCAGGTTTCTTGTGAACTCATTGTGTATAGCATTATGTAAGCCAATTTAAGAGGAGTTTACGTAAACCTATGTAGTTAGGCAAACTCTTCTGTGTTGTTTGTTTGGCCACTCTTAAGTCGTTAAACGACCTTTACTTGAACTGATAAAGCGCATTAGGGTAAAGAAGAAATGGCCGAGCACACTTGCGGATAATAAGATTGCAATAGCGATGTTTACACTTACGGGATTATTTGGAACTGTTCTCTTCCTCCCCCTTATTTCGGAAGTCTCCCATATTCATATTCCTTTAAATTGGCAGGTATGAATATGATACTGCTTGCAAGTCTGAGTGATGAATTTGAAGTGGCAACAATAAAATGTTTATATAATTTTAACCATGTCACTGTTTAATTTGAGGGGATACATGCTGGATGTTTTGGGTTTGGGTTGTCCGGTGGACTTGTTGAACTCACTAGTGCAAATCAATATTTTGGTTTCACAAAAGTGCCGGCACTATTTTAAAACCAACGACAGCACTTTCTGCCCATTTTAGTGGCTAAATCAATGTGAAATCATTCAGGTGGAGTTCTTTCGAGTCAAGTTTATTGGTTGACACTAAAGGTGCTGTGAAGAAATCAATTGGTGAAGTAGCATAAGTCATTGCAGTTGACTTTATTAGCTCTCTGTTTTTTTAATTTCAAAGATAGCTTAGCGTAGCTTCTTAATGTGCTTGCTGGTTGTATATGGTTTTGTACATTACTTAGAGCTTTGTTTCCCGATTTTTCAGTGAAGAGGAGGCCCGTGAAGGCTTATCCGATACAGACTACGACTCTGGTTGCCCTGATACTCCGAGGTAAGTGCTGTAGCCCTGTACCTTTTAGTATGACTCCCGAGTTGTCTGGTTTGTTTAGTACAGGCATGTGCAAGCGGTACTATTGCACTGAATTGGCATTATTGGCATTATTGGCATTATTGCTAGACTGCCTGTTAATTTACTTAGGAAAGTGGCTTTGTTAATGTCTGCGACAAACCTTCGAATTGAGGCTTCTGGGGAGAAATGAATAATTGGTCAATCAATAATTTATAGTACTGATATACTACTGCTGGACAGAAGAACTTGGTGTGATTTTGATTTATCACACCAAGTGTCACTTGGCCTTGGGTGACGCACTGCTGCACGAGAAAGAAGACTGTTAGAATTCATGGTAACGGTGATGTTTGAATCAGTAAGTACATGATAAACATGTACAGGCTATATTACGCAATGTTAGCTGAACAGTAATGACATCATTCACTATGACAAGATATACTGCAAGTGACAGCAACTCCTCGGGCGTAAACCATGTAACTACTATACAGCATGGCCGATGGCTCACCACTGCTTGACAGCGAAAATGCTAATGGAGCATATTTTTCAGTGAATAGATTTGAACACTTAACAACATTCCTAATAAGAAGATTGATGTTTTAAAAATATTACTGAAACGGCTTTCAAAGTTCCTGTTTTTTCAAGTCTCCGCTACCGAGGATACGCACTAGAATGGAACAATGCGAGTTTGCTGAACACTCTTTGACGAATGAGTTCTGCTGCAAGTGCTGCTGAACATACCGCTTTGACAGGGTGCGAACGGCACGGTCGCATATTGGACTTAGCATAGCTAATGTGATAGGGCTCACAGAATTGTTAAACCTTGTGAAATTAGTGTCTTTGTAGTGCTACATTATAATCCACATTTGCACAAATTGTTACATATTGTTACATGCTTGTCTTCTATTTGTGTCCTCTGCAGAGAAAGAAGTTCAAGAGTTCGAAAGCAGAGGGTGCCGCCGACCGAGGACTCCTCGGACAGCAAGGCAAACGACGATGAAGACAGCACAAGCAACGACGAAGCACAGAAAGTGAACGGTGTCAGAATCAAGGAGGATGATCACGCAGAAAGCAAACCAAGTTCAAAGGAGAGCTCTCCCGTAAAGTCTGACAAGTCCGTAGACGACGAGCCGTGGCACACGAAAAGCACCAAAGACATCAAGCCGCCCGACACAGCAGGTATGTGTGGCTTACCATCCGTTAAGTGCATCTGCTATTTGCGTGAAGTGCCGACTGGTGGACGGTTCGATGCATGTTATGGGGAATCAGTATGCCTTTGTGCAGGTTGGTACTTAAATTTGAAAGTGTCTGGGTGCTTTGAGGGAAGTTCTTAAAGGGGCCCTGAAACACGTTTTCAAGTAACAATGGAATGAATTCACTGGAAGAGCTTATTGTCTCATGATTTCAACTTTAAAAATATGTCCAGTGCGAATGGAGTTACAAAGGTTTGCCGCTTGCTGCAATCGCATTCTTTCTTCTCTCGTCCCGACGAAAGCCCTGGAAGCTAAGCAGAGAGGGATGGCAGGGCCACAGAAAAACGTCGCGCGGGCTTCATGACCTTGAGCATTTTTTTCTTTTTTGTACTTTGAATGCGCGGCTTTTTCAGTGTGATTGCGTGCACGGACAAGTAGTGGCTTCCCGCGGCGATCTGTGTAACGAGCGAGCGCTTCATGTTCAGATCAGCCAATGGCTAATAGATGGGTCGTTGACGTGTGATTTTTGTGCTTATAACATGATTTGTCAAGAGAAGAAAAAGCTATTTTTAGGTGACTTTGATAATTTATTGTGAATACCAGGTGGTGTGCTGTGCTGTAATATTTGGCTCGCGTGTTGTCGGGAGCCTCTACTACCGATCGGCATTGTTTTCTGACCATGCTCAAGAAGTGTTGCAGGGCCCCTTTAAGGAAAGCTTATGGCAAATAGGAAGGGATTATGCAGTGAAGCTTGTGGCTGCACCTAGAAAGAACTGGGAATCGGACGCAATCACGTACTGTCAAATCTATAACCAACATCTTGATTAACTTATGGCCAGTACTGCGTGCAATAAGTATACACTTATGGTGAAAATTGGATATAATGGGATATAAAATGGGGTATATATAAGGGGGAAAGTTGGGACAGGGAGGTTGGATGTAATTAGGTTTTTCCACGGAAGAAGGAGACTATTGTAACGAGGCTTGACTGTGCTTAGCTTTGCCTGCACAGCAGTAATGACCTCAAAGTGGCTCTTCACCGCAGCACATCGACTAGATCCGACGCAACACAATAATTGGAAAGCCATCAATCAATAAGTTGTCATTACATTAAGTGATTGCTTTACCGACATCAAGCCTGCATAAGGCAAGTTTGCCAACAAGTTGCAAGCACCAGTGTAGCTCAGCAGTGGTAGAATACTGGGCTGGCACCCAGCCGACCCGTGTTTCGAGCTCCTAATGTGTCTTTGGTGCTAGGATTTTTTTTTTTTCTCTAATTTCACGAGATGCGGTTATAGACACCAGTGGCAGCGGCGGACAACTGCGCTTGACCCGAGTTGTGATTTCATAACAGCTTTCCCTGTAAAAGCATATTGTCTCAGGCTCGGCTTTTGGGTCCTTTCTTCGCGCCAGTGAGTGCGATTACAGTCGAACCACTTCATTAAAACATGAGTTATTGCTGACACATAAGGGTGCCTTTGTTATACCATGCTTTTTTTATAAATGTGTACACAGATATCTAGAGAAACAAACGGTAGGCATTTTTTACCTACTCCTAATTTACCTTGTAATATGTTTGTGTTCATTATATTGATGCTTCGTGAAAGTTAAGGTGCGCTAAATACTGGCTCACTCGCAACACCGCTATTTTTTTTCTCCAGGTGAAGATAGTCAGTCGAGCACCAAGTCTGAAAATGTAAAGATAACAAAGAAGACGAAAAAGCAAACAGGTAAATTTTAATTGCAGTAAATTTAGAACACTTACTGGACATGCTGGTTTGTGTACCCTTAGATAACCTTCTGTTTTTTGCATTTCAATGCTATAAGTTTATGACTTGTCACGTGTGACAATTTTGTTGTATGGTACTAATAGCCTAGAAGAGTTCTGTGTTGTCCTCATTGTTGGCGAGTACTACTAGGCTGTTTAAAATGCAAGGCTAAGAAAAGCAGACCATCTCTATGAGATAACATACAGTTGCACCTATGCTATGAATCTTGGTAGAATGATCTTTGCATAAGCAATCTATGTGCAGTACAGCTTTTGCATGCCATTTCCACATCATTGCAATGGTCTTGTGTGCTGATCTGTTCGGAAACACAAATGCTGTCATAGTAACATTGATGTATCTTGTAGTATTTATTGTTGATATATATGTGGGGTTTAACATCCCAAGACCACAATATTATTATGACAGAGGCCGTAGTGGAGGGCTCCGGAAATTTCGATTACCTAGGGTTCTTTAAAGTGCACCCAAATATGAGCACGCGGGCCTACAGCATTTTTGCCTCCATTGAAAATGCAGCTGCCGTAGCCGGTTGTAGTATTTATGGTACGCAGCAGACCATCAAATTTTATCGTTATTCAACTTTAAAAAACCGAAAACGGGCGTCCTGCCCTTTAAATTGAGGGCGAATAGCGCAGGTTTCGGCTCTACGATACGCGGGAACTACGCGCTCGATCGGCGCCATTTTGGTCTTGTTTGAAAGAACGCGTTTTCAGCTGTTTTTTTATTCAGTAAGCAACATTGAGCGTTTCTCTCCGGCTCGAAAAACGGGGCCTCAAAGACGAAGAGCCGCGCTCACTGCCATTGGCTAAACGGCGCACGTGACTGAAATGGTGCTTTCCGGTTGGCTGGAAGCTCGCGGCTTGCGCCTGCATACGCGACCCGACACCATTTTGAAAGGGTTACCGCTGCGACGCCTCGAAATCGGCAGAGCACTCTGAAGCTTCTGATCGTATCGCCATGCCTGGAAACGCAAAAAAGTATCGGACCGTGCACGCATTTGGTCGCAGGAAACGCAAAGGTCGTGGGAGAAAGTCTACGAAGTCATCAGAGCCCTTGGTTGACTCCGACGAACGATGTGTCGACGCTCCGCGGCCGTTCAGCGATGGTGCGACCGAGCGCGTTGCCTCCGACGACGATGACGGTGAAGCGAACTCCGGACGACTACGAATCGACGCCAAGGTGGTGACAAACGCCAAAGTTGAAGAAAATCATGCCCGGGAGAAAGCGACGCTCGACCGGCTTTCATCGGCGCCAGCAACTGCACGGAAAATTGACTTTTTCACCGCGAGTTGTAGCGAGGCAACCGCACAGGACTCGGACCACGCGGCTCCTTATCTGCTTATGCATCTAGATATCCTAAACGCGATAATGGGTGCCTTGTGTTGCAAAGCCTGCCACGGACCGGCTACGATCGTCAGAGGGGATCGGGACTATGGACTTGCCGTGAAAGTGCTAGTGCAGTGTGAAAGGTGCGGCGAGATCGCGAATGAATGGACTTCACCCCGCGCGAACGACACGAAAACGTGCAATCCGTTTGAAGTAAATCTTCTCGCTTCGAGGGCGATGGTGGCTACCGGCAACGGCCAAACGAAAGTGAACGATATTTTCGCAACAATGGGCATCTCACACCGCGGTATGCACCACAAGACGTTTCAGCGGCATTTGAAGAACACGCTGGCACCTGCTGCAACGCGAGCGGCTGAGTCCGCTATGAGCGAATGTGCGGAAAAGGTTAGAACAATTTATGATGACTTGTGCTTCGGCCACCGGGGCAATATTGCCGTTAGCTACGACGGCACGTGGAAGACGTGAGGCCATTCTTCCCACATCGGCGTGGGCACAGTTATCGAATTATTTAGTGGCTACGTGTTGGACTACGTCGTTCTTTCCAACTTTTGCCTAGGCTGCGAGGTGGGCCCAAAGCCTAGTAGTGAGGGCTATCAAGAATGGAAGGCTAACCACAAATGCCAAAAAAATACGAACAGCAAAGCGGGGCAAATGGAAGTGGAGGCGGCTCTAATTCTATTTCAGAGGTCGCTTGAACGCCATGGCCTGCGCTACACAACTATGCTGTGTGATGGAGACTCTAGGACATTTTGCGCCATACAAGACGCCAAGGTGTATGGTTACATTGACGTGCAGAAGGAAGACTGTATTAATCATGTACAGAAACGGATGGGCACCGCATTGAGAAACCTGGTGCAGAAACAAAAGTGCGATGGGAAAAGAGGCCTTGGTGGGAAAGGCAGGCTCACAGGTGAGCTGATCACCAGGCTGAGCACATATTATGGCCGGGCTCTGAAATCGCATGAAGGTGACGTGGGCGAGATGCAAAAGGCTGTGATGGCCACATACCGCCACGTCACCTCCACTGATGAATGCTCGGACCACAGTCTGTGGCCAGCTGGTGAAACTTCATGGTGTCGGCACAATGCCGCAAAAGCAAAGGGTGAGCCCGACCCCAGGCATGCCTACAATCTACCGAAAGACGTGGCAGAGGCATTACTACCGGTTTATACCCAGCTTTCGGAAAGAGCCCTGCTTCAGAGGTGCGAACGCGGCAAAACGCAGAACTCCAACGAGAGCCTACATTCGGTAATCTGGAGTTTGGCCCCCAAGGAGCACCATGCGTCCCTGTTCGCTGTTGAAGCAGCTGTTGCAGAAGCAGTGCTGCGCTTCAACACGGGCAATTTGAATTCTGCAACGGCAATCTTAGGTGAAATGGACATGAATGCGACAAGTACTGGTGCCAGGAGAGCGAGAGAAAAAGACCACCGTCGCAGCATTGTCTCCAACAAGAAAAGAACAGCCTCATTGGAACTCCGGAAGCTTGTGAAGAGGAGGCATGAGCACAGAATGCATTCAGACTATGCTTCTGGTGCGTTTTGAGGTTGTCTTGTTGCATCTTCTGCAATAAATATGTGTGCCCACGTTTTTTCTCGATTTCTCAAAACGACAATTTTCATGTGCTTCCCATTATGCCGGAGCAATATCTCTTGTTCTATCTGGGTTATCATTACGATTTCTTTTTTGTTTCGAAGATAAATGCAGGGGATGTGTCGTAAAGTAAGTTTTATTGTAATAATTTTTGGAGAAAATTCTCTAAATGGATCTTTTGTTTCAAGTGTAGATGGGGAAATTTTTCATGTCATATTCAACATCCCACAACTTTGCTTCGAAATAGCCCAGAACAATGATTTATACTTTATTGCACACTGTGAACATACCGAATTGGTTCTATAGGTTGCACATCAATATCCAAGTTACAGTTAATTAGCTAATTAGGCCTTAATTGAAAAAGTCGCAGTTCATTATATCTTTAAAACTAATTGTCACAGCAAAAAAAGAATTAGATTTTTGAAATCAGCAGTAAAATCTACATAGGCTCTCCAAATTTGACTGAGGTACTCGCAAAAATAAAAGAGTTTTTGGAAGGTGTAGCATCCCCCTTAAAGTGCACCCAAATATGACCACGCGGGCCTACAGCATTTTTGCCTCCATTGAAAATGCAGCTGCCGTAGCCGGTTGTAGTATTTATGGTACGCAGCAGAAAGTGACGTCTCCACATTTTGACATTTTTTTATTACAGTCGAGCCCACATATAACGGCCCCACGTAAAACAAACTTTCGCTTAAAACGAACAATATCTGCGTGACCGTGAAAATATACATTGGCTTGATGGCACAAAATCGCACTTACAACGAACGTCTCCGAGCACTACCGATCAGTTACAGCGAACGAGGTCGGTGCTCAACCGACTTCCCGAGAAACCACTTTCAATGATTGATCAGGCATTGACGAGGTGCACGTACATTCTTAGTGTTAAACACCGACCCTGCCTCCGCGTCCCTCTAGTTGCCGCTCTCCCCAACCGCTTTTTGTTCTGCACCCCTCTGTATTCTTTCCCCCTCGCTACTCTGAGCACCCCGCATTGCCAGACGAGGCGCATGTGTACTCACTGCCACTGATCTTTCAAAGACCGGTCAGCCATCTCCTCTGTTTTTGATTGCTGGTACTAACGTTGGCGTCGCCGGCCTAAAGTGAACAGACTATTTGCCAACATCGTCGGCCACCGACTGTATCCGATCGTCTGTGTCTAGTGCACGCGCGTATGCTACCCCACCGACTCTGATAATTCTCAATTAGTTTTGTGTTTAGGACCTGTTCTCGCTCACTTCGCACTCGGCTCAGCATGCACTCCACACGCGTGCAGAAGGGTGAAAACGACTGTTAATTTGCGCGGAACGAATCGCGAAATATAGAAGTCGGTGAGGCCTCGCAAACCTGCCGGCGCAAGAAAACAATTTTTTGACCGCGACCGCCGATTCCTTGAACACCGTCGTGGGCGCTGATACAGGCGGCTATGCTTTGACTTCTGCACGCGGAGGCACTCTTTCAAGTTTTTCTACGCGTGAGTTGCGCGTTTCGTAGACCTTTCAAGCAAGCTACCCGACCTACCTCCTTTCCGCGTGTTTTGGTTTTCAAGATTGCCCTCCCGCCGTGACCTCCCCTCTCTTCACTCTATCGAAATTTGTTGCCCTTCTTATCTCGCAAATCCGCTCTCCTCTCTTGATCACAACCCCTTCGCCCGTCTCCACCGCTCCGCGACGCCAGCCACGCTGGTTCGAGTTAGTTTCGTTTTCTGACTAGAAACAGGCCCAGAGCCCGTCTCCACCGCTCCGCGACGCCAGCCACGCTGGTTCGAGTTAGTTTCGTTTTCTGACTAGAAACAGGCCCAGAGCTGTTCCGCGCGTTCTGCCATCGATACCGCCTTGGTGTCTTATTCGACTCACAGTGCATATTAGTGTACCAGAGATCCGGAGGAAATCTGAGCTTTCATCGCCCGGGCTAAAACAACTGTCTCTTATTTTGCAGGAGAAATATTCAGACAGTATACATATATATACCGATGGCTCCACGAATCGCCAGTGTTCGTCAGGTGC